ATGTATAGATATACATGTATAGTAGACACAGGTGCATATTGGTAAGTTAATACATTGTGCACTAGTATTTTATCCATCATCACAGCAAACCTTTGTCCCTTATATTGATTTTTCAGTTGGAATTGGAAAAAATATCTACAGCTTTTACAGCGAAGGTTTTCTTTGTGGATGAAGCGATCGGCAACTTCTGACATTTTTCTTACCGAGGGTTAAGCCATCATGCTAGCAACTCCAATGGATCTTTACCAATCAAATTGTCGTCTGGTTTCGACATAATTGTGTCCAATTTTTGTGGTAATATCTTGTTTTGTTCTACGCACTTATTAGCCACACACGAACATACCCATGTCAGCGGCTAGTTCCGCCTGGTCCGGCCCCTTGGACCCCGGTGAGGACGACAGATTTCTTCGGGGCAAGGTTCCCCCACCGCTGAGGAAATTCATGCCCAAACTGTACACACGTTGAAAAATGACCAGGTTACTGCAAAGAATATCCGTCAGGAGTATGCGAATAAAAGCTTTTGAAAAAAGATAGTCAGTAAGTCTGCATATATCTTATGGCCTTTCCCTTTCCGAACTACTTATATATATTATTGACAACAGCACGCTGCCACAATATCTCAAAGGTACATGTATATGCACTACACTGCAGTATTGATATTCTCTGTAGCTTACGTTACAATGCTAGAAAAGACCAGCGCGTTAAAACATTACTATCATACATGCATTTTTTACATCGAACATTTATTGACCTCTTTCGAAAAAAAAATACACGTCCGTGCTTGTTCACCCACAGTCCACAGTCATACACATACTGACGAAAACTCAGTCTTAAACGTTGCAAAGTTCAACGATACAATCAATATGGCTGGTTATTTTCTACAGGTGCGAAAATTGGGGGAACAGATTTTAGACATAGTGAGAATATAATAATATACACAACTTCATTAGAATATATTAACAACAGTAATTCGCAACGCGACATCAGTGAATCAATTCTACTAATTTCTGTATTAATGATGGCATTATTGTCTTTTTCCACAATTTAGTAACATTTTCTGAACAGTCTACCTCCTTCCGAAAGAGAAAGTGTTCAAAATGTTGCGCGGAAGGTCACTTTCGATTATGCCAATCTCTTTTGATCAGAAGATGAGGAGGTCTATATATCACCAACAATATACGCAGAGAATTAGGTAAAAATCACCTAACGTCCATGACTCCTTTATGTAACGCTGACACAAATTACGTATATACTTCCTCATGAAAATTGTTTCAAACGTACATAATAGCAAGGAGCTTCCATGGTGATAGAATGTCCTTGATGATAGCAAAATGTCCTAGTGTTTAGTACTACTTTGCTGTAATAGAGAATTCATGTTAATATTTAAGCCACGACCTAGTGTCTGGGCTCAAAACAACTGAATGTTTATATATCAACGCAGAGTATTTCCTGTTCCTATTTTCTCAAAGGCAAAGCATGATTGTTTTCACTTTATGTGAGAGAATTCGAAAAAAATGGCCAAAGGTTATAAGGAATAAACAAAGCCTAGCAGTGAATCACAGCACAATACATTATATAGAGATATTTCCGTTTTTTTCAGCATATTAAAATTCAGTCCTCTTTTTCTTCCTTTTCTGACTCAGCCGGCGATGTCTCCTGTGCTTGGCAAGTGGTGTTCTCGGCAGGTTTTTTAGGGAAGGCCATGAAGGGTGCCGGGTAGCCCACTGCCTTAGGGATGTTCAGCAGCAGGGGGTTGCCTTGAGTGGGGAAGAGGTGCGGGTACAGACCTAGCAGGGGGTAAGGCGGTAAGTGCCCCAGGGGGTCGAACCGTGAGAAGGGTCCGTAGTGGAGCCGTTCTCGGGACCCGTCGGGAAAGTCCGGGTCGCCCATGTCGTGTAGGTGCTTCTCCCGCTTCCGCCATTTTGCTCGGCGGTTTTGGAACCAGACCTGTGGCATGATGGGACACAGATATCAGACAAACGTTGTACAAAAACATCATCTGTTCTCACATCTACACAGAAGCGAGAAGAATTTGACTATTATCGATTAGTTTGTACAACACATTTGTCTACCATACAGCTATCTATATTTAACTCGTACATTTAAAAACTAGAAAAAAATCTGATGCAAGTCAGAGAGAACATTGAAGACTCATCTGTATAGTGGCTCAATTCAAGGTGTCATTTTTTGGTTCAACAGTGAACCACAATTACAATGAAATCTGTTCTTAGCTGTTTCTTTCACTAACCCGCTTATTAAGGTAGACCATAGTGGTAAACGTTGGCCTCACCTGCACGCGTGATTCCGGTAAGTTGACCCTCATGGCCAGTTCTTCGCGCATGAAAATGTCAGGGTAGTGCGTCTGGCGGAAGGCTCTCTCCAGCTCCTGCAGTTGCCTGGTCGAGAAAGTAGTCCGGTTCCTTTTAGGCTTCTCTGTCGTCGCAGGTTTGGTCGATTTCTTGTCATCTTCGCTCATCTCTTTTCCTAGAAACGAAGAAGATTCGTAGTAAATACACATGAAGTGCTGGAGGTTGCAGCTACAACAGGACCGAACAAATTAAAAAAAGATTTGTACATGCTCCTTGAATGATTGTACCATTAGAGGTCTGGCCGGTCCATGGGCCATGAAGTTTTTCTGTATACTAGTACACAAAATCATAGCAGTGTCAAAGAGAGCTCAATGAAATAATATTGATATACAGAGACTGTGAGTTAAATCTGTGCACATCTTTCAATAAAAGCATATAAAATGGCATAGTATGCTTTGACAAGGTCCTGTAATAAAAATGGTACTCTGGTACCAAATGATCAATGATGTTCAAATTTGCATCATGCTTGCGGAGAAAAAAAAACGGAAGAAACAAGTAGCCTTTCAGTTTGGATTTTATACCTTTAGTAAAAATATGGGATGGCATGCTTTTTAACACTTCTAGTCAATGTCTAGCACGTTTGCGGAATGCAATGCACCAGGTAAATGATACCGACCTCCAGATTGGAGACAACAGGAAAGAACGCGCTGTATCCCCGACTAGAATACCGACTGTTTTTCCTCACTCTAGTTCTTACAGAATTCATAAGTTGTCAGACAGGTGGAAATGTGCGGGGGAGGGCCCGCGTGTGAGAAGCCGTCGGCGTTTGGCATTCTTCAATCAGGTCTACTTCCCATGTTATTTCATACTTGTGGTTGTGTTCGTACAGGTGAACGATTTTTTATGGCGCAAATCAGAATTTCATCAGGGGATCAAAAATTTTACTGTTCTTATATTGATATACGTTAATACGCGAACTTGATTCGAAACAAATGATGATAACAGAAGGCTTGATTATGACATGCAAATATGCAATAATATAGTAAAGTACGCGGTGATACATGTATTTGTAAGGTTGCATATCCACACATGTGTTGCACTTGTGATACAACGTGCAACATTGTTGTCGTCTTTACATTCCAGTGAGATTTGGTACATCGTTATTGACACTGCGGACACAACCTGGGCGTTCGAGACACTCAAAATACAGACTTCCAATTTTTCACTACTAACATATATGTACTAGTACTTGCTAGCGATATCTACTACACTACTACCCTCCAATACTTCGCTCCCTTGTGGATGAAGTGAACTTTGGTGTGAAACATTAGCGCCACCCGAATCAAAAGTGCGTGTGCCTGACCTTTTTACTTCAAGTCAGAGATAGCTATAGTACATGTACCTTGTCAGATATTCCGGCATCTGAGCCCCAGAAAGAAAATAAGTTACAAGATTCAGCAACTTGGAGAACCGCAGAAAAATTTTGTATCAACTAATTTTGTATCAACCATTTTAAGACTTTATAAAATCAAAATGACTAGAGATATTCCGTATTAAAACATATAACGCGTAAAGTGGCGTAAAGTACTGATCGCGCACTATAGCCTATCCTATTCGTGGGGGTGAGGATTATGGCGACAGAGATAGTTTTAAGCCACGTACAGCACATTTCAATTGTCCCTTAGGTGCGTTTTTGTTGATAAAATGACGTGCAAGAACTAAAATAAGCAGATGAAATAAATACAATGTTTGGTTAACCGGTTTTTGTTTGAAAATGTGCCAAAACATCATTAGACAACATTCTTGATATTAACGCAAATAAAGCGTTTTGTGAAAAGAAAACCTTCTGGTACGCTTAATATTATTATACCGACAACTTCTTACTGACCTGTGCGACTCAATAGAAAACAGTAGGTTCGTTTCTAACAGAAAAAAAAATGCAGAAACTGCCAGGTTAGGGGAGTATTCCTGAAGGGAAGTCGGTCCTTGTTGGGCACGGAACTCGTCTCTGTCAGGCTAAGTCCAATGGCAAATATTTCAGTCTATTTAGTCCGTTTCCACTATTGTCCGGTCACCAAAAGAATCTGATGGAGACTACGTTATAGTTAAGGACGGAGAAAAATAAAGAAAAGACTACGAAAAGCGCGCTTGCGGTTTGTACAAGAAACTTCTGTTCTACAAGAACTACCTGTTTCTTTCCGCGTGTCCCCCTGCTGGTTCTCCTGATTCCTGGTCCCGTCTCTCATCCTATCAGCTGACGACTGGGCTTCTATCCCGAGTAGACTCCGGATGGAGAATTTGTGCCGAAAATTTGCCAGTGCGTCCTCGGGAGTACTTTCCGTGCTGCCGTCACCGCAGTCGTCAGGCATCTCCTCGGCGATGGGTGAGTCCTGCCCCCGAAGGATTTCGTCCCCCTCTCCGCTGTCGGGTCCTGCGGTCTCAGGGTCGCACGGGCTGCCGGTCACCTCTGACATACTGATGCTTGTGTGTGGCTAATAGGTGGGTAGAACAACAAGCGATAAGCCCGCAAGAATTGGCTACAAATTACGGAGAAACTGGACGACAATTCGATTTGTGAAGGTTGCTAGCACTACGGCTTAACCTTCGGAAGGGGGGAGGAATTTCAAAAGTTGCCGAATGCCGTAAAGACGAATGCGTAAATAATCGGACTAAGCTGCTTTCTTTGGCAAATTAAGAAATGAGACAGGATCCGTTCTACCGCGCAGTGACGTGGAAAACGAGGCAATAATTTGACACTTTACCTCACACAGTGAAGCCGAGAAAACGAAGCTTTTGTTTGGAGTGAAATGAAATAAACAGATCTACTGGCTTTCTTTTATTAAATCTACATATATGTTACTCCATGATTATGCATGGTATGTAAGGGATAATAAGACGTCATATCTACTTTGTACCGACCGGAATGGCATTTAAGGCACTTCTGTTTGGGCAGGTGGTTTAATTGTTTTGTTTGGAAAACTGGAAAATATTCGTTTCTTCTTGTGCCGTGTTGGAACACGTTATCCCAACATTTGTGACACATCAAGATTAAAAATGATTGGGATTCATGGGAGGCGTAAACGGTGCACGGTGTGTGAGACCAGTCTGTACACTGTCGCGGTGTTTTTTCCAAAGCGTGAAACTTGTCAGTTTTCCGTTGTGTGGTAGACCAGACACTCGACATTACACCAAATCTAACTTGGTCGTCCAGTCAAAAATAAGAATGGACAAGGTGAAAATTTGGTTTACTAAAGAAAACGACCTTACTAACCCCGTGATGTGTAAGACAATCGTCGTCTCGGCATCAGTTTCAAAGTGTGGTGGTTGTTTGCACAACACTAATATGTGGATTATCCGCTTTACTCAGCCCAGCAAATGAAAAGCAGGAAAATTAACCAACTGGTGATTACGATTTGATACGTCTGGGACCTGCGCTTCGGGCACAAAAACCGCCGCCCCGATCATAATCCAGCGGGGTTACGTCCGGGAGTTGGGCAATATCAGAAGTACGTCCGCCCTGCAGAATTTAATTTCCTTACTAAATCCGCAGCAAATGTCACAAACTACGCATGATTGTCTGGTAGCCAAACGACTTTCGGCCTTTGTAAAAAAAATAGATTCCACGTTATTTTGACATTTGAAGTTGTTAGATGGAATAGTCCGTGGGGTAAGGGGGTGGGGGGCATGTTGCCTACAAGACATCAGGCACGACACTTGTTATGATAAAGGACTATAACGGATGTTAGAAAATTCGGTTACGGGTTGAAGGTACTGTGAGAATACTTTTTGTATCAAACCTTAACGATCAATCGGAACACTCATACCGCGTGGTGAAGGTATTTGTTTTCCTTATTCTCTGGTACAAAAAAATCATCCAAAAAATAAGACAAATTAAAAAAAAAACAATATTGGCTATTTTTCCGATCTTTGTATTAAGCTGACTGAAATGCGTTTCTACGTAATAACCATATTGAAATTCACAATCAGCATATTTTCTGAAACAATACTTAAGTTGTGTATATCAATTGATTTTTTTCCTGTTACTTTAGTTATGTGAAAAAGTAAGGCATAAGCTAAGACGACAACGGTTCACAACTCAAAAGAAAATGTTAATCTTGCTGACAGTCTAGTCGCCTGGATGAGACGATCAGGGAGGGATCAACACAGTTCTTTGAACGTTTGTGAAATGGGCTTATGTCAGGGCTTTGTCTCTAAGAAGTGATGGCAATAAAAACAACAAAAATAACAACATAGCAACAATGGTGACGTTCCTACGCCCGCCATAAACACATGGGCGTTTGGGGAAGTCGAATGACTAAAAGGGCATTAATAGCTGTGAAGGAGGTAAACTTTTACACATCCTTTTTTTAACTTGCCTTAAAAGGCTGTTTAAAAGGGGTGGGTGACGTCTGGACAGCAAGCATTGACAATGGCACTGGTGGTGAAGTTATGTATACTTAACCATAGCTACAAGATCATAACGAGTTTACTTATTTGCAGAGATGCATTCTATTTTGTTTAAGTATTAAGTTTATAGAGATAGTAAGAAAATCCGCACTGCGTCATGACGGCATAATTTTCTTACTATTTCTATAGACGTCAGACTTAAACAGCGAACTGAATGGAAAATGACAAATCAACAGGCGCTATGAGAATGCAACATAATTCAACATGTCTTCATTTTATGTCACAACAACTGCAACAGTGAAAAAAATTGTTTTATATCATTTCCCAAGCCTGCAAACAATATTAGAAGTCATACACGCAAATGAAAACGGACGTTTGGGAGATTTCAAAGCTTCCAACACCGACAGACACAAAAATCGAGCAATGGATGCAAGAGTGGTGGTGACTGTCGAATAGTAACGCAGATATGGTAAACATTATTTAACATTAAAATTTAAATCATTAGGCTTTGTATCAAAAACGATTTATGATTTTCTCCCCAACATTTCAATGCCATTTAAGAAAGGAAGAAAAAAGAGAGGAAAGAAGGAAGGAAATTAATAGGCACCAAGGAAAACAACATATGACTATGCTCTTCCCTATGATTCAAGTATGAATATCGTGACACTAATTTTTCTTGCATTTCAACTTACCGACCAATACCTAAACTCCTTGTTACAAACGACGTAACACATACGTATCTAACCATAACATTGAGTGATGCTTCTGTAAACCAAAGCGATCACGTCAATTAATTGTTGCCAAGCTTTTGACCGTAACAACTCAACGGGGCTAAGGCATTATATCCAAGACAAACGTGTGATAACTCTTACCTTTAATATTCTGCCTTTGTGTCAAGTAACAATTCCTTAAAGAAAAGTGTTTGACAGTAAATCTAAGTGGATTGGAAAGTATGAATATAAAGAAAATACAGCACCTGTTCTTAAATGATCTTCTGTCTCCTCCGGGGCATGAAGAATCATCTCGCTGGAGACAATTTAATTCCTGGGTCATCTTTTTAGTAATGCAATTATCACGAGAGTGGAATCCGCAGATAGAAGATGATAGCTTGGCTGCTGACAGACCAATTTGGGGGTATGAGCACGTGCAGGTGTCAGTCAATTTGGCCGAAGTTGTTTACCACGCTGTTGTTTACAGCAGAGTTTTGCTAAACGAGAGTCTGTAAAGTCGTCCGAAACTCGCCATTGCTAAGAAGATATTGAAAGACTTTCCACTACACTACGCTGAAAAGTTTCAATTTCCAACGACTTTTACTCTTCGAATTCAATCAATGCCCTCATCATACTCAAACAAGGGACAAGGCTCTGAAGAATATATTTGGAGTCTCTCGTATCACTGCCTGGTTTACTTGTAATTCATTAATCATGCAAATAATGTTTGACTAACATTACACCGGCATGAGAGACTGTAAAATGTACACTTTCACCACGTCCGTTAGTCCAGATAGGGCGAAGAGATGGACATGTAACCTCTTTAAAATTGAACGTAAGACTTCACATAAAAGTTTTATGTTTGACTACGGATACGCGGAGGGTGATTCGAGTCGCACTCAGATCGAGCTATGTAGTTGTTATGAACCTACAGGTGCAGATACGTGATTCTGTAGTAATCCCTAAGTCAGACAAAACAATGACTCAATCCTGTACCAAATAATAAACAGTGGTGTGGATTGTGCAGATTATAACACCTGTAACATCACCCGCCTACAGCTGCTTACACCAC